TGATCATTATATTTTTTCCCAGCACTAAACTATATAATTTACGTCTCTCTAAAGATATATATTTTTCAACATTAGAATTTTAATTACAAGATTTATGAATGTGGAAATATTAATTTTTATTTTTAAGTTAAAATTATTATCAAATAAAAAATCTAAATGACTGAAATCAACTGAATGTCTTATTCTGCATCATCTATATCATGTCCAACGAGTCATCCAAAAAATTACACTAAATACAACTAACCTATGAATTAAAATGACAGATACAGTGTCACTGTCCCGTATCCATTCTTTGCACAGACTATATCTATTAAACCAGTTTTTTGTAATATGAGTTACTTTTGTTATTTTTTAAGGCTATAGAAGCAGTAAATTTAAAAAATAACAGGGATCTAATAGGCACCTACTCTAGCATCCTACAGGCAGAATTCTATACTATCGAAAAATGCGTTAAAATTACCTTGGCTGCTATATACAGGGTCCGGCAATAGTGCGTCGGGCATCTGTAGCTCCTAGAATAAAAAACTTGAGAATTTTGTTTAAGTGCAAACCTAAAGTATGTACCAGGATGTATTTCAGGAATATATTTTGACTTCTATAGGGTGGCTCAAAAAAGTGTGAGTGAATCTGGATGATTTTTTTTAAATAAAACACCCTGTATATTATTGCATTTTTGGCTTCCTTTCAGATCACTTTACATAACCCTAAGATATGAATAAATATATGTCGATAGTTTCAGAGATTTTTCAGCCCTTCTTAAAAAAATTATTAAAAATACAAGAACTGTTCTGAAATCAAAACTATATGAGGTATTTCCTTTAGATGGTCTGTTCTTACTTTGCTATAAATATGGTAATCGTAAATCATACAGGATGTTCAATATTCAACGCCAAACTTTCTAAAATATAAAATAATTTTTCTTTGTTTTTTTAAATGGAACACCCTATATATTATTTTTTTATTAAATGGAGAGTTTAAAGATGAACATTTTTTGTATTTAGAGTATTTCAAAATTTTTAACGGTTTCGCAGATACACGCAGTATTATTTCATATGGCGCTTTCAATGGTAAAATACGACAGAAAATCATTGGATGGCTTTGATAAAAATTTACTGTGGAAAATGACATATGAAATATCTGCGAAACCGTTAAAAATTTTGAAATACTCTAAATACAAAAAATGTTCATTTTTTAATTCTCCATCTATTGAAAAAATAATATACAGGGTGTTCCATTTAAAAAAACGAAGAAAAATTATTTTATATTTTAGAAAGTTTGGCATAGAATTTTGAATTATTATAACATATTTATAGCAAAGTAAGTACAGACCATCTAAAGTAAATACTTAGTATAGTTTTGATTTCAGAACAGTTCTTGTATTTCTAATATTTTTTTATAAGAAGGGCTGAAAAATATATATTTTTGATTTATTTTTTAATATCTCTGAAACTATCGAAATGTATTTATTCATATCTTAGAGTTATGTAAATTGATCTGAAAGGAAGCCAAAAATGCAATAATATACAGGGTGTTCCATTTAAAAAAATCATCCAGGTCCACTCACACTTTTTTGAGCCACCCTATAGGAGTTAAAATATTTTCCTGAAATACATCCTGGTACATACTTTAGATTTGCACTTAAACAAAATTCTTAAGTTTTTTATTCTAGGGGCTACAGATGCCCGACGCACTATTGCCGGACCCTGTATATATTTATTGTACATATATTTTGGTATATTTTTTTTCTCTAAAGATACTGTATAAAAAGGGTATGTCCCTAAAGACACTGTATAATCCCTGGTATAATCCTTATCCAATGGTTTTTAAAACATGTTCATTAACTTGACTAATTTCTCCTTATTCATGGTTTCCTAAAAACTGGAAAATGAGAAACTGATTATTTTTATCTGAGAGTATATCGTAGTAATTCCTCGTTTAAACTAACTATATACTGATACACACCTATTTCTACTGATTGGTATACCGTGCTGACAACTGTTACTTTTGGGTCGACATTGACATGTGTGGAAGTAAATCGCATAGGGATCTTATTAAGTCGGAGTGAGAGAAATGCGACCGACCGACGCACAGTGCTTCGAACATATGGCTCTAGAGGACAAAAATCCAAAACTTCTCTTTTATTGTAAGCAATTTATTCAAACTAGGTTTATTTGACACAAATGATGAGTACTCTCATTGTACTAAATGATGATGTTCTTAGTCCCACGTTTATGAAAAAAAAATCTTATAAATAATAATATTGTTGGAGCTGTGTTCCATCTAAGAAAATAATAAGTTATAGTATGAAAACGGTGTAAGTATTAAATAAATTCCTGTGATAAAAAGAATTGAAATAACATTAGAACATGATTCCTACAATATAAGCCTAATATAAGATAAAAATGTTTTTTCTTTAATGAAAAGAAACATTAATGTTATATTTAATTAAAAAAACTTAAGATATTATAAATTTTACTTTAGGACAACAAAATGCATAGATCGTAACTACTCTGATTCAGGAGAATCACTGCTGACAGAATCTTCCAAATTTATAGTATCCAAATCACAGGTAGATGAAGTATCCTCACATATAAGATATTTCTGTACATCATTTTCTAATATGTTACTTTTTTCGCGTTGTTACTGTTCATTTTGTCGGTATGAGGGGTTCGGATGTTAATAGTTACCTCTTTAATAGACCATATCCATATATTATTTTTTTCTTTTCTTGGGTATGAGATTTTATAATAAATTGAAAGATGGACACTTTTTTTATGCGACGTTTCGCTCCAACATAGTGGACTTTTTCAGGCACAAGTGGTGTCTCATTTGACTGGAAGGTTCATCAATATCTAATAAAAACATATTTTTTGAAATACAAATAATTTTGAGTTCTTGTCCTTATGATCAAGCCAAGTATTAGCCAGATCGGCATTGCTTATCAATTTTACTCCATCTGAAAAGTATTATAAAATAAAGTTCGTCGCAAGCAGACGCAGATGAACTATACAAAAATTAAAAGTGTATGAATATGGCAACAAAAATATTCAATAAATACGATATGTTTTGATATGTTTTTTTTAATGCCTTTTTGAAGTTTGAAAACGTAAAATTTTTATACCCATTTAAGAATCATCTTAAAAATAAATAAAAACTAAACAATCACGAACTTGTTTAGAAATAAATTTAAAGTACATACCTTGTTTAACAATATCCATAGTGGCTTTCAATTAAGTACGTACCCGTTTAACTCCATAATATACAGAACTACTATGAATGTTATTCTTTTCACTGATGAGATAATAATCGCAAAATTTATTTTTAGTGAAAATATTTGCTAACAAAAAAACGCTGTTTATGAAAAATAATATACAGGATGGTTGAACATTGCTATAAGTATAAAATTATATATTCAGATATTAGTAAATTTCAACTTATTTTTTGATTTTTGTCCATGGGACGAAGCACTGTGCGACGTGACGCGCGACGGTGTGCTGCTGCGGCGTTGCCGATACGCCTTTCCCTATCAAGTAAAGTAAAATCACGATCGCAAACCGCTTATTTTTAAAAGACTTTTTTTCAAGAGATAACTAGATAAAATCATTAGACATGTTTCTGAGCGTCTGAAATGGAATTATAAGGATATCGTTAGGGTGTTAATTTTTATATAACGAGAAAACGTCAGTAATCGCGAAAATATAAAAACTCAACTTTTTAACACATAACAGGCCATAACTGAATAACCAGTTTAGATATTGAAACTTTTTTGTATTTTCAAGATCGGATATTTTACAATATGTTTACATAAGAAAAATCCGATAAGGTTGTTTTTTCCATTCAAAAATTATAAACAATCTATCCGTTTACTTTTAGAGCATAGCAATTTTCAGCAATCGTGTAATTTTTTTATTGATAAAGATTTTCACATACTGTCTAGAAAGAAAATACAGCAGAAATATTAACAAAGTTCTTGAAAAAACTACAATCTATTATTTCTAATAGATTTCGAGATATCGATTTTTGAATTGAGAGTTCTAATAGCGCGACCACTAGCGAACACCCACTCAATTCCACTTATTTTTACAAAAAATGCAAGTGTTTCTAGCTTGCACTTAAAAAAAGTCAAGCCATAGAGAAAATTACAACGACTCGTTTATAAATAACAAATTAAGTATCACGAGACGTAATTAAATCGTGAAGCTGAACGCATGACGTACACCTTTCCCTAGAACTTTAAGTACTGACAGAGGTATTGATTGGGTCAACCGGTCAACTGCGACAAATCACTTGTGTCTAGCCCTAGCAGGCAACTATTAAGCCCGACCAATCACGTTAAAGTTTTTGACAAACACAAATGAATTAACACCCTTCAAATAACCACGCTAACCAACCTGATTGGTCAAGCTTAAAAGTTGACTGCTAGGGTTAGACACTTCTCGACAAATCTGCTATATCCCCTTCCACGTCTCTTGGCGACGTGCACAGTTTCGCGGTTTATTTCATACGTTTGGCAACGTGTTTACTGTCCTCTTTTTGTTCAGTACATTATAAACGCACTGTACTCTTCTTGCATACGGAAATCTCGACCCAAGACTAACCTTTGCCAGCCCTTAGTATAAAAGAGCGACACATGCGTCAAAACCACAACTTATTCACTATCAGTTGGTAATTTTTGCTTGATTTTGTGTATTCGTTGCACTTATACTCATACACATGCCAGCAGTCCCCAGCACCAGTCTTAATAGTTTTCACATAAAGTTTTAATGGAGCTCAAAACCTAACCTGTTACATAAGATAAACGAATATTCGAAACAACAAAAAATCGCCAGGCTAGTTACGAATATAATTGACTGTGGTTTATTTTCACTTATCAAATAAAGCAAGGAGCTATAGGTCTATTTTTGATGTTGTCAGAAAAGTACTTTATTTATTCCTGCTTTATTTTATTTTAAAATATATTTTCAACTATACTCTTTTAATTTACATAATTTTTATTCTAGGATTGTCATGGGGTTCCAAAGAGTCAAGGCAGCGCCCCTGTTAGAGACATCATAGACAACTACACCCTGATGAAAGGTGAACAGAACGGGACTCATACTATTCTAGAATTCAGAAGAGTATTAGACACTTGTGACGTCAATGACTATGTTTTATCGGTAAGTCAGAAATAATATAATTATTGTTATAGCAAAATAATAAATTTGTATGATGCTACTAAAACACTTTTTATAATTCTTTCGACGTGCCATTTTCTTAGCCACGTTAGCATCAAATAATCTTACAGCGAGATTATGGCTGAAAATACCATACAATTGAAAAAAACGGCGTCAAAGACGGCTGCGGAATGACAATCGATGAGAATTTTGGAGAGATCAAGCCGAAATCCATTAAAGTTTTTGAGCCATTGTCTTTGACGCTGGTTTTTTTTCGGCCATACGGTATTTTCCTGCTTTAGTAGATTTTAGATAAAATATATAAAAATGAAAATATATATTTTTTTAAATGTCGCTGTTTTATAACAGGAAACAATAATTCCTCTCTTCGCCAGAGGCAAAAAAAGATATTTAAAATATTAAGACTACTTCTTTTTTAGTCTAATAAATTATTGACATTGCTGATAGAACTCTAGCTGTTAAAATTATTTTAGGCGATTGACGTAAACATGTTAAATTAATATCTAGATATCTATTTAATTTCATGAAATATAATAATTAATGTATAACTCAAAATTGGCGAATTTCTATCAGAAATTTTCAGCATTTCCATCAATAAAATGATTGCTCAGAAATTAAATGATGCGTATCTGTATATAAAGTATATAGTAAATATATTCTAATAAACGATGGTCTCGTTAATTTATTTTATTGATATAAGCGACATAATTGCCTGTACGTGTTTCTTTAATAGGCATAAATACAAATTAAATAAGCGAATTCATAATAATTTAAATTATGTTGATTTAAAGCTATACATTTAGTGCATATATGTAAATAATGTAATTCAATATTTTAATTCAAAACATGGATAAGCGACAAACAAGAAATTATATTATTGTTTATGCATAATCAACGGTTCTATCTATTTTTTAATCTCTCTATAATTAGTGTTAATTTCTAACAAGTTTTATGCCAATTTTTAATAAACAACGTCTCTCTTTAATAAACAACCTCACCAAAATTATCATCGATTGTCATTCCCTAGCCATCTTTGACGCTGTTTTTTTTTCATACAGGTAGCTGAGTTATCGTAGTATCGAGTATTATTACAAAGTATTGATTAAACCATAAATAAAATTAAGTAAACTACTGTTTCTTTCCCACATAACATTAAAATAATTTTATTTTAGCGCCTGAATACTATCCCTGAACTTTTACAAATATGTAGTAACGTTCTAACGGTAACTGTCGCTTTTTTCTACAATTTATAAAAATTCTAATGAGTCGTCCCCAGGGTTCGGAAGTAGTTAATTAAGACGTAATTTACCTGATTAACTACGTGTAGTTTTTCTTCAAAAACTACGTCTTTTCCCGTTCATTATCTACATGAAAACTACGTTAATAAACTATGTATTGATATTATGAATAATTTTCCTTTGTATGAGGTGTTATAGAGATAATATGATGTAAATATTATTTTTAAAGCCATATTTCTTCTGTTCTTTCTTAAATTCATTATGTGTTTTTAAAGCTTCAACTTACTATAACCTCACCTCAAACCTTTGATATTTGACATAGGTTACATAAACTACACCCTCTACATAAACTACATTAACTACATGTAATGTAGTTTATGTAGTTTTTAAAAGTAACATGTAGTTTTCCGAACCCTGGTCGTCCCGACCTTGATCGAGTGACATACTATATCTAATATATATAAATAAATATTAAAAATGGTCTTTGAAGAATCAAAGTCAATAAGACAATTTAAAAATTGTCTTATTGACATTGAGAAAGAGGCACTCCAAATTTAAATATGAAAAAAAATACGACAATTTTGATAAAAAATATAAATAATAATGTGGATTTTGTCTCTGTTATCTAGAACTTTTTGTAATTTACTTTTTGACATCCAATTGAAATAGTGTTTTTTTTTTTAATTTTAACACCAAATTTTTCAGTATAGCATTTATTTTTCTAAGAAATTTACCACTCCTTTTCCAAAACATCTTCTATCATAAAATGTTTCTTAATTCTGAATAAATTTTCTTACAGGGGGATACCGTAAGAATCATTTGGGCTCTACACAAAAACGATCCACGATCAGAGACTGATATGGTCTATCACGAAGACCGAAGAGGTGTTCAAAGTGTTCATTTACTAGGACCTCCGCCGCTGCCTAAACAATCCAGTGACTTTACCAGACACTGGGATGTAGAGTTAAAGAATGTAAGTCCAACTTATAGAATTGATATATTTATACTCTCGCTGTCATACTTATCTATAGTTCATATCAAATAAACTTTTAGTCACGTGATTAAGCTTGACCGGCACAGCGTTGCCCACTTTTACATATTTTCTTTTAATCAAAATATTGTAGGAAACAACAATAGATTAATCCCAAACAGCATTTGGACGTGGGTCACAACGTCGGGGCACAACGTCGGCACAACCTCGTGCCAACCCTAGTCTGCACTAGTTTGGAGAATAATTTTTGGGTCGAAACGACGTTGGATACCGACGTTGGCTAGAAGCCTAATTTAGTACAAACTGCAACGTTGTTTAAAATCCTAATTCACAGAAATACAAAACTATAATAATATGGCGTCTAAGTCGCGTTTTATCCTAAATTGGGATAATTATAGTAAAAATATTATTTTTATGATTTAGTTAAAGACATATGCCAGATGGCAGTAAAGGAAATCAAAACAAAAGTATTTAAGTGTGGAGGATGTTTGAAGATCATAATTATTGAAACACTTTAACCAACTTTGTAACTCGTTACCCAAGACAAAAAAGTTAAACGCAAACAACTTTACTGATAAATGTATTGTTTCTACTTTGAAAAATACTTATGGGCCTTAAAATTAAAGAAGTTTTAAAAAGTTTCTTGAATTTTTTTTTTAGTAAAATGAGAATAATTTATTCGCAGTCGAAAAAAAATTCCGCGTGTTGTTTAGGGTCAAATATTTCAAGTTACTGTATTCAAAAAGCAGGAATTGCTATTTTAGGAACGAAACATTTTCGTATTCAACAACATGGCGGTTTTCACTTTGTTGTTTTGGAGATTAAGATGGAGTTGTTCGAGTAGTCGCATACTGGACTAATAAAGTCGCAGTTCGGCCTTAACAGGTAGTATACTAGTCGCAAGATTGCCTAATGTAGTCATCCTAGAGTCTAGCTTGTGCCGCCCCCTATATGTATTCTAAATAAACGAGGGAGTGGGTAAAATATCGGTAATATGTCGATGTATATTTAAATTTAATTTTATATGTGCCTTTCTTACGTCCCATTTTAATTAAGTTTTTTTATAAAAACAAAAACAGCACTGAACTGTCTGACTGAACAGAACAATGAAGTGAAAATTTAAGATTTAAGGTTATGGTTCAATACAGTTGCAAAAAGGTAGTGGCTCGATGTCCTACCAACGTAAGAATAAGGAAATTTAAACAACGTTGGAATTAGTAAAACAGATGACGTTTGCATAACGTTGGAATAGGTCCTGAAACAGACGTCGGAAAACTCTTTATTGCCCAACATTGTAACTTCGTTGGCCGAATCACCTAAAGATCACTTAAGAAAAAAAGGTTACAAGACAACGTTTATTCGACGTCGCAGAAGCTTTTACTTTGTTGTAGTACTAGTTCAACGTCGGCACAACGTTACTACAACGTTTACATTTATTTTAATACCCAAGGTACGCTGCTAACTATTTTTTGTAACTAATCCAACGTTGTGTTTAGTAAACATGTGGTCGCAAGTCGTGAAAATGCTACTTGGGATTATAAATATATAAACAGTTATTATTTACATCAACAAAACTCACCTTCTTAACAGCACCTAAGGGGCCATTACTACCGCTTTCCCATTCAAAATATTCTAATAAAGTTGCGATGAGTTTTTTACGGCTATTAAGTTATCTTGTACACTTCGCACTAAAAGAGATTCTAAAAAGAACAATGTTCGACTGCAAGGTCTGCTAGTCAACATTTTTAAGCTTAAGAATCCATTTCACTCGTCCGAAAAAGTAGCAAAATTAGCGTTCGGCATTTAACGTTTTATGTAAAACAGGCTTGGTATTTTTACACAAATGAAGAAGGAAATTAAAGATAAAGCATTATACTGTATCCTTATTGTAGCACATTTTTAGACAACTTCTTTATTTTTAAGATTTTGATGGTCAAACATCAAAAAATATACCTTATGTTTGGACTAAATTTTCTCAAAAATAAAGACATACAAGAAATTCCGTTACAATAGGGAAATAGATTGAAGTTTTGTGATTACAGTGATATATAATTTATACGGTTTTGTAACAAATTGCTCATTATTTTATGACAAATGCTGAAGCTCTGCAAACCTTAATCAAAGCACGTGTGTTTGGAATTTTAGGTGTGGCTTAACACGACAGGATTTGCCTAACCCTTAAGCAGATTTCTGAAATATAATATATATATTTCCTTCGGCCACACACCCGCTTTACCCGACCCCTGAGAGCAACCCGAAAGTACAGAGTAATAGACTCTTAAAATATGACAACACTATTTTTTCTACGACTAGCCTAGAAAATGCAGTTTGACACACGGAAAACTCGATCTGAAATTGGCGTTATGCAAACTGTTGTGTGGTAAGGATTTAGCGCACGACATGTGTCATTTTGCACAGGACATGTGCCAATTTTGACATTTTTATCCTCCAATGTTTAGCTAAAACGCCAAACGCAACGCAGCCGTCAGAGAAGTGTCATCATCACATCGCAAATTATTTCACAAAACTGGCAAAAAGTGAGTGAGTCTGCTGCTAATTTGCAGTCGTAGAAAAAATAGCGTAAAAAACTCGTTCGAAAACTTCTTTGTACACTCGTTCGAAACTGTCGAACTCGTGTGCAAAACGTCGTTTTCAAAACTCGTTGTTTAATATACTATATTTAAACCAAAAACTCGTAATACAAAACTGTCAAGTGTCAAAACGAATAACAATGTCAGGAAATAAACAAATAAATGTGGCCACTTAACATTTTTTACAACTGAGCTACCACCTGAATCCCCAGGGTGAAATTTAAATTCCAGTTAGTCAGCCTGGCGCCGAATATATCCATGGTTGGCAACAATAAATTTAAAAATCGCGCCCTCGATTGCACAACTAAAAGTTTAATTGGTATCAAAGATAGTTGCTAAATATAAGAGGATATGCATACTCGTCAGTATTGGTCATTTTCTTTCTTTCAATCTAGGAAAAAAGAACCTTATCTCAGTTTGAAAATGACTGTTGCTTGGGTTCTTTACAAATCTTGAGATTACGATAACTATACAATATAATAAGTGATTCAGTATTAAGAGTTCTTGTATCCAGAAACGACGGAAACTGATAAAAGGCATTTCTTTTATATCCAGGTTACAGATATGTTCAAAGAATGACTACTCTGGACGAGGTATAGAGAATTGATTAATAGAATGAATTAAATTGGCCCTGGCAGCAGAAAAAATACTTTACTTATTCTATGTAACCAACCATTCGGAAAATGACGCTGTATATTTGATTTTTGATTCACATTGAATATTTTTGTCACTACAAATGAATGGATTATATAAATTATATGGATAAATAAATTATTCGATGTTAGATCTGTCCCACCTCATTTTTTCTGATTATTGCCATTCGAAGAAGATATGGATACGTAGAAGGCAAAATATCAGTATATATGTTTATTGAATTTAAATTGTCCCGCTTAAAATTCAGAGCACGCTTAGCGAATTTCTTGAAAATACTTAATATTATATTTACTGATGTCAGATGGTTCTGAATTTACAAAGCCTTGTTTTGTCTCTTTTACTTTACGTACATGGAGATATTCTAGCTGTAATATATCATTGTACAGTATGTTTACATAACTTATTAAATGAAATGGATATATAGTCCTTATGCTGCTATTATTTATACCTAGTGTTAAAGTTAAGATCTTGAAATATCTCTTACTAGAACTAGAAACTCTTATTAGCTTTACATACGATTTCTCCCTTATTGTTACTTTATAATTTAATTAACACTTTTTTAAAATTGAAACATGAAGATCAGCATATAAACATTAAAAAATTAGTTATTTTTTATACAAGACGATAAAATGGTATTTTATCGTCGACCGAAAAGATTAATTCACGAGCAATGAAATCGCGAGTAAAATAATTTTGGGAGACAATAATGCAATTTTATCGTCGTGTATAAAACAATATTTTTTTCTATAGCGAGTTGCGTTTTAAAAAATATTCAGAAATTATTATTTCAAGGAATTTATTACGAGTAGAAAAAATATTGTTCTGAGTTGGCGTTGGTTTCTATGTAATTTGACAAATAAATAAAGCTGTCTCTTTAGTTGTCAGTTCCCTTTCGTGTCGATTGCTGATTGAATTGGAGCAGAAATGGCTCAAAACGAAATAACTAAATTACCAACAGATATTCACGCTGAGGCGACAAACGCCATATCCAAACTACTTCCTTTTAAATCCCGAATAACTTATGAAAAGGAATACAAAAAATTTCAATAATGGAAGCAATTAAAAAACGTGCGAGGTGAAATAAAGTTTTTAACCTATCCTCGCTGTTAAAGTATCATTTAATCAACCCTTGCGGTTAAAGTACTATTTTGTCTACTATTTTTGATAGATATAAGGCAATTTTAACAGTTGCTATGGAAAAAAAGATAATTCTTTTGCTCTCTATGCTTTCTCTACTTTTTTAAGATGATTTTATTACTACTTAAATGTTCATAAAATTATGAACATTTTTTTATATCGTAAAAGGGTTGCCACTTGCCAAGTATATTAAATATTGAAAATATATTTTTACTTTATTGTGTCCAATCATTCCTACGTATAAAGTTCAAATGTTATTTAGGCACATCGTGTCACCTTTTTGAATATAAAACAGAAGAAATTTTATTTACAAGGATAAAATATATACTGCTTCTCAATCTATCTCAATTGTTTTTTAATAAAAACCTTAGATGGCTTTTTTCCAGGACTTATATTATCTATGACAGCATAAAATAGAACAGCAAGTATCTTGCTTCTCAATATATATTAGCTTCCTTGGCTTTCGATAAACAAAGTGCCTCTCATGTATCGACAAATTATGATGGATTATGGCTAATTTTAATATATTATCATACTGAATATATTACGTTTTACAGTATAACAAATAGTTTCTTTTTATCCCAAAAATGTAAATTTTAATTAAAATTAATTTAAATAATTTATATAAATTAAAAACACTAAATACTAAGTATTTTATAATCAAGTAGACTTTGACTCTGCCTATTGCTTATCTGTCATACTTTAAACTCCAAGAAATCACTTGATCATACCACTTTTTGTTAGACTAAACTTTTTTTTCATCATCATCATCATCATCATCATTTTCAGCTTATTCAACTATTTCTAATTATTGTGTAGTCTCCCTCACATATTTAGATACTCTCTGTGTAGTTGGGATCATCCCATTGTTGTCTATTGTTGGCTATGCGGGACCAAGTTATCCCTGCTAATTTCCTATTATTATAGTCCCATCTCAAGTTTGGTCTTCCTCTAGGTCTCTTGATTTCTCGTGGGTACAATGCTGTAATTTTTGTAGTCCATCTGTTGTCTGTTCTTTTTGCCAGGTGTCTTGCCCATTGCCACTTGAGGGATTTGATTCTGTGGATGACATCTATTACCTGGTTTTTTTGTCGTATCCACTCTATTCTTTTACGGTCTCTCTTGGTTATTCCCAGCATATTTCATTCCATTCAGCGTTGTGAGTTTCCTTATAATGACCGTTTTAAATGTCCAGATTTTGCATGCATAGGTCATGACTGCCCAAGTAGCATTTTCACGACTTGCGACCACATGTTTACTAATCACAACGTTGGATTAGTTACAAAATATAATTAGCTCCGTACCTTGGGTATTAAAATAAATGTAAACGTTGTTGTAACGTTGTGCCGACGTTGAACTAGTACTACAAGAAAGTAAAAGCTTCTGCGACGTCGAATAAACGTTCTTTTGTAACCTTTTTTGCTTAAGTGATTTTTAGGTGATTCGGACAACGTAGTAACAATGTTGGGCAATAAAGAGTTTTCCGACGTCACTTTCAGGACCTATTCCAACGTTATGCAAACGTCGTCTGTTTTACTAATTTCAACGTTGTTTAGATTTCCTTATTCTTACGTTGGTAGGACGTCGAGCCACTACCTTTTTGCAACTGTATTGAACCATAACCTTAAATCTTAAATTTTCACTTCATTGTTCTGTTCAATCAGACAGTTCAATGCAGTTTTTGTTTTTATAAAAAAAACTTAATTAAAATGGGACATAAGAAAGGTACATATAAAACCAAATTTAAATATACATCGACATATTACCGATACTTTATCCACTCCCTCGTTTATTTAGAATATAGAGGGCGGCACAAGCTAGACTCTAGGATGACTAAATTAGGCAATCTTGCGACTAGTATACTACCTGTTAAGGCTGAACTGCGACTTTATTAGTCCAGTATGCGACTACTCGAACTACTCCATCTTAATCTCCAAAATAACAAAGTGAAAGCCGCCATGTTGTTGAATAAGAAAATGTTTCGTTCTTAAAATAGCAATTCCTGCTTTTTGAATACATTAACTTGAAATATTTGACCCTAAACAACACGCGGAAACAATTTTTTCGACTGCGAATGAATTATTCTCATTTTACTAAAAAAAAATTCAAGAAATTTTTTAAAACTTCTTTAATTTTAAGGCCCATTAGTATTTTTCAAAGTAGAAACAATACATTTATCAATAAAGTTGTTTGCGTTTAACTTTTTTGCCTTGGGTAACGAGTTACAGAGTCGGTTAAAGTGTTTCAATAATTATGATCTTCAAACATCCTCCATACTAAAATGCTTTTGTTTCGTTTTCCTTTACTGCCATCTGGCATATGTCTCTAACTAAATCATAAAAATAATATTTTTACCATAATTATCCCAATTTAGGATAAAACGCGACTTAGACGCCATATTATTATAGTTTTGTATTTCTGTGAATTAGCTAGCTAACTTCGGTATCCAACGTCGTTTCGACCCAAAAATTATTCTCCAAACTAGTGCAGACTAGGGTTGGCTCGAGGTTGTGCCGACGTTGCGCCCCGACGTTTGGTCGCGTGACACAACGTTGTCCCGACGTCCAAATGCTTCTTGGGTGGTAGTACACATGGGTCGAATGTTCTCTTCTTTAGATAAAGTGGCATTCTAGATTTGAGTATGATTGTGTTTCTTTCATAAGTTACTTATTTTCAACGAATTTTCTTTAAACTTGCTAAAATGCGTTTTTTATTCTAGTTCAAAATTCCCAACAACATGGATACTGTGTATTGGTGTAAAGTATTTAAAGCACCAACCTTAAACGTCAAACACCACATAACAGGATTTGAACCTATAATTGGAAAGAACCACTCTAACATGGTACATCACATGATCATGCACGAATGTGAGTTACCTGGCAACTACAATTCAGCAATTTGGGAGAAATACGCAAACGAAGATGGACAGCTATGTTACAATAATATGCCCTTGGCTTGGGAGCAGTGTTTAACACCTTTAGTTGCATGGGCCATAGGATCAAAGGGTATTTTTTTTTTAATTTAACATTATTACCTTTTTTTTATTTGTCCTTTCTTATATTAATTTTATAAATAAATATTAATGGTTTTTCTTTAACAGGTGAGAATTTCCCAAATCATGTTGGATTACCTTTGGCAAGCAAAAAAAATTCTTATTTTATGTTGGAAGTACACTTTGACAACCCTCAGATGAAGTCTATTTCTGATACGTCGGGATTAAGGTTAGTGTATCTACAGGGTGATGAAATAAAATCAACATTATAATAAGATGCAAAAATAAAATTTCAGTTTTATACAGGGTGCTACAAATTCGGGGTATCTCGGAAACCGTAATAGATACGAAGATGGTTTAATTGGGGCAAAGTTGCGTCTTGGGACGTCCACCAAAATGCCATCAAAAAAGTTCAAAAATTTCAAGGATTGCTGAGTTTTTTGGAAAAAAACGGATTTTTTTGAAAATCAATTTTATTTTTTCATGTCGTTACTTTTAAAAAAATTACTATATAGCACATTCTCATAGCCACTTTATTAGGGCTATCTGACAGTATTTTTATTTTTTCAAATTAGCTGATAATTTGTGGCCACATTAATTTTTGGTTGCTATGCCACACTTATTTTTTTTTTGTTTCGGACATTTGAACTCAATCAATTTAAACTAATTTCAAGTTTGGCTCTATTTTTTTAAATATTTAATCTATTCATCGTTACAATATATTGATTAGCTTTCAAATTTAACAATGACGTTGGGTAAAACATTGAATACGGAAAATCAAATGCATTAAAATAAATAATATAAATACAATATATGACAACCAAACCAAACCAAACCAAAAACTATCAAATCATTCCCCGGAAGATGAATTGGAAATGGTAGAGCAGTATAATGGCCAGCGAGGTTCCTGGACCTGTCACCAAGGAGCAGGGGCATTACTTGACGTCATTTGTAAAAGTGAAATCAATACACTCAACATTTACAATAAAGAGTACAAAATGCATTCGGAAGTATTAGAAGAAGATCTGTTCAAAGAGCTATAAGTAAAATTGAACGAAAAATAAATTTGTGCAATAGGGAGGGTAGTAACCCTTTCGAACATGTAGAGCGTTAGAAACAAGTTTTTTTAGAAGTTGATTTATCTATAATAACTACGATTAATATGATGCATATTAGTAGATCGTATATTCAGATTTCAAAGTCACAATAAAAAAAATAATATAATAATAATATCTTTAAATTGCTGACCTGGATATGATTTATTTGAATATTTTAATTGGCTGGATTTTTCTTATTGAATGTTAATTAGCGCTGATCAATATTGTTGTGATGAATCTGATGAACATAATCAGATTAAATAATTTAAAAACCAGAGTCGGACTTGATATTATTTTAAATAATAATCAAATAGTTTTGTTGTTGTTAAGGTACCCAAAACAAAAAGAAATATAAAGTGTGGCATATCATTGTACATGGGACCGAGTTATTTCAGAACCTGAAATAAAAAATGCAGGTTCGTATTAAAAAAATTAAGTTGGCCTCTGTATCTCACAAACTATCAGCTAATTCGAAAATCCAAAAACACTATCAGACAGCCCTAATAAAGTAGCTATGAGAATGTGCAATTCGTTTTTTGATTTTCTAAAAAGTAACGACAGGAAAAAATAAAATTGATTTTCATAAAAATCCGTTTTTTCCAAAAAACTCAGCAATGCTTGAAATTTTTAAAACTTTTTTGATGGCATCTTGGTGAACATCCCAAAGGCACAACTTTGCCCCAATTTAACCATGTTCGTATCTATTCCGGTTAACGAGATACCAATGCTCGTACCTCGAATTTGTAGCACCCTGTATTTTTAATTGTGATAACATAGGAACTAAAACTTTATTATTCGACACTCTTATAATAGATTTAACTTTATTTCCTAGGTTATTCTACAGTAACAAACTACGAGAAAACGAAGGAGGCATTCTAATAACAGGAGTCGCTCCGTCCACATTACACTTCATTCCCCCGTTTCAAAGAGAGTACAAAACAGCCGGATACTGCAGTTTGGGATGCACTAAAGAGGTAAACCTAGAAACAGACATTATAATTTCACATTTAACCTGTTGTTTACAAAAGGAAAAGATTCCTTTGCGTCATTCGAGTATATCAATGTGCTTTTTGTTTAGATGTTCCCCAAAGAAGGAGTTAATGTCGTCTCGGTGATGCTACATTCGCATTTAGCTGGCAGAAAGTTGAAACTTCGACATATACGAGGTGGAAGGGAACTTCCCCCTTTAGCAGAGGTAATTATAACGTTTAAATACTTATTGCAGTACTATAATAAATTATATACAAGGTTGTTCACCACATACGACACGGAGTATCGTAGCTAAACGATTAGATTTTTACAAATTGTAAGTTTTGGGTTGGTTGAAGGACTATTAGAGCTACAATTTAAAAATATTTTTACGATACAGAGAAGATACAGAGTGTCCAAAATGAATAAAAATATCAAAGTTGTATTATTAAGTATAGTTAGTTATTAATTATAACACCCTGTATATTATTACATATTTAGTTTCTTCGATTAAAATAAAGATAAATTTGATAAGGCTTACCGCATTTTAATTTTACCGTTATTGAAATATTTAGGTTTTTGTCAAAATACTAGGCGTATTTAAGTTTTTAAAACCAAAAATTGTACTGAAGTATTTCTATTTACTAAATTTTGTGTTGCAATAATAAAAATTATAGTACCTTATACAAAGTGTCTAAAAATTTATTTTAAATAATTACTAACTTTAAACGGCAATTAATTCTTTAATTGAAATGGAAAACCCTGTATATTTTACGAGAATCAGATGCAACATTTTATTGTCTATCAAATTTAGACTATTTAGAAATTTAGATTATTTAGAAAAAAATTTAGACTTCGTTTATCAATATATATACCCATGGAATATTGATATTTTAGATTATTTTTAAAGATATAACAAATTTTTAAAGAGTACAGATACTAATATTATCGATATAGTTCGTTTATTTCATTAAAAAATTAAAATAAAATTAAAGTAAATAAATAATAAACTATTTAAATTATAAAGATTTAGATAGTTTTCTTTTTGTATACAAATGGGCTAGTAATATTATTGTTTTTAGCACCTGTATATTTTGTACATTTGTTGCTTTAAAAACTATCTAAAATGTCAATATTCCATAGGTATATTGATAAATGTGATCTAAACTAAATTATAGGAAAATGCATTTTCTACGAAAACTTGAAGGGATAGGTAAAAAGTGGTATAATGCAATTAAATTGTGCATCTCATTTTCCTTAAATATACAGGGTGTTTCATTTAAATTGAACAAGTTATTGCCGTTTAAAGCTACAAATTATTTAAAATTAATTTTTAGACACTCTGTATGAGGTAGTATTATTTTTATTATTGCAACACAATAACTGATCAATAAATAAACTAGTAAATATTTAGTATTAAAAACATTAAAAACTTTAATACCTTTTGAGAAATGAAGCCTTAAAATTTTTACTGCAATTTCACAAAAATGAAAATATTTCAAAAAGGGTAAGGTTTAAGTGTGATAAACCTTAATCAAATTTACCTTTATTTTAATCATAGAAACTAAAAATATAATAATATACAGGGTGTTCCATTTAAAAAAAATACAACTTTGATATTTTTTATTTATTTAGGACATTCTGTATCTTGTAAAAATATTTTTAAATTGTAGCTCTAATATTCTAATTCAACGAACCCGAAACTTACAATTTGTAAAAATCTGATCGTTTAGCTACAATACTCCGTGTCGCATGTGGTGAACAACCCTGTATATAGATAAATGTACATAATTTTATTAATCTCTCAAATGAAATATTTTATATTGAAATAAAACAAGTACTTGTTTTATTTAATATAAAATATTTTAATATAATTCACAAATTAAATCTAGAATTACGGAAATTTAATAGATTTGATTCGTAGTTGTTATCTATATCAGCTCAAATATATTTGAGCTGCTATAGATTTTTTTTCTATATATCACCGTAAAATTAATAAATAATCTATATAGTAAAAAATAAATTACATGTTTAACAGCATACATATGGGATTGCAGTAGCAGAAACAATAGGATTAAATGCCTATTTTTTAGCAGATGCGTTCGCGTCTGCTTTTACCATATTTTCAACAAAGCAACGTTAATTTTTGGCAAAACGAAACAGAATTTATGAATTATTGACGAATTAGCAAGCAAAATTAAAGCACTCTATTGGACTTTAATACTTTTAAATTCCAATATATGCTAAAACATCATCGTTTTAGTAACAAAAAATCAACGATTATTTAATTGATCGTGGAAAAAATCTAAAAGGAATGTAATAAAAGAGTAGACAACTCTAGTAGTTAACATTTTATAATAATAAAAGTTAAAGGTCTGTCCAATTATGTGGTAATAAAGACTAACTATACTCTTAAAGTTACATTTAAAGAAGAGAAAGAAAGTATTAAAAGAAATGGCAAGCCTAGAAAAAATTGGATAATTAATAGAATAAAGAAAATAAAGGATAAATATAGCTAATAGCCTAATAGTAAAGATCACCCAAACCAAAACCTATAAAACAATTCAAAAACCTCTATAAAATCAATAAAGCTAAATGCAAAGTGATGTTTTATATTTAAAACTGCTATATTTTATGACAGAAAAATAATTTTGGTAAAAAATATACTGTCAAGTTTAAAACTCGCCAAATAATATAACAAATCGTATGCAGGAAAATATCTAAAATACCCAATTAATATTTTCTATTTGGAACATGTATTTAATATTTTTAAAGAAAATTACATGGTCATATAAATATCAGAACTAAAATCGGAAAATCTTTATTAGAATAGAGTTTTTTTTAGGAATATTGATTATTATTAGGAATTTTGTAAAAGTATTTTATCAGAAGGCATGAAAAAATTCAGCAAAAGTTTTGAATAACTAAATTGTTTGGAGAAAGTATTTCATATCAAGTTTTTCAGTTAAGTTGCCGATTCATAAAAACTTAAATAAAACTTTTTAATATACCTATATATTTCTTTTTTTAGATAACACGCATAAATATAACAAGTCTTATAAACTTTCTTATTTGGTTGTTTTGTTCTGACAAAATGGACATAATCTTGTAGGGTTATAATTTAGAAAGGTTTGTAGTTATATAATTTATTTCATTTATATTCATTCTTTTATACATATATATGCTATGAAGCTTTTTTACATATGTGCACCCTGTATAAATTTATACAGGGTGGCGCCTCTCATACGCCGCGGAGGCTCTAAGGAGAACGACAGTTTGTATTGAAATGAAATTTTTTGAGCATATGTAGCTTAATTCAGAGCACTTTTTAAAAATATAGAGAGTTCTACAGGGTGTCCCCAAAAAAAATTACATATCAAAGTTGTGTTTTTTTAGTGGAACACCCTATATATTAATTGATTTTCGGATTCTGGGAGAAAAATAAAGGTGAGCTTTATAAGAGAAGTATATGACTAAAATGTAAGGTTTATGACATATTTAACATTTTCTAGAAATAAAGAACAATTGTTAAATTGCAATAAAAGCTACCTAAATTGAAATTTACCCGGTATAGCCTAATATGTAGTTAAATTAACTATTGTACTTTAAATCAAATCAAAACTTGATCCAAAAAGTTATACAGGGTGAGACAAAATTAATATTGAACATTGGTCACCTTTAAAAGCATGTTACTCTTTTATTTTAAATGGAACACTCAGTATATTATTCCCATATTCCCAATGGAAAATTCATGTCTCAAAATACTATTAATAATAATATAAAATATTATTAAGGTTGCCTACCCATCAAACAAAGATTTTCCTAGATATTTTCATTTACATGATCTGAGTAGATCTTTATTATTTGATAAAATCTAGATGGCTGTGATATGTCTGACGTTACTTCAAAGTAGCTGTCTAATTAGTCCAACTTTAACAACTAGTTATCATTTTGTGTCAGTTAAAACACAAAAAAATTTCTCAGAAATTTGCCGAAAATGCAAACTTATCCTACATCAGAGAGAATTGATATGATTCTACTAGTTGGTTATTCTATTAGTTTGTTGGTTATTATTAAAATTAATAGAATACTTAAATGCTCCTGATTTTATCTAGTCTGGTTTTTTTATGGGGATATGTTAAAGAGAGTGTTTACAAAACTCGACCAACTATTGTCTACAACATGAGAGAAATTATTGTAGCTGCTTTTCGAGGTAGAACTCCACATAATACCTTTTGAAATGAAAAGACCCTTTTGACAGGACAATAATTTTATGCAGTTAACAGGAAAGGAAGCATTTTGAGCATTTGATTTCATCTAGCTAATTTTTGTCACATAATTATAGGTTTATATCTAGTTTTAATTCTGTAATAATTAAAATATGTTTTAAACGTGTATCTTTTTATTACCGTTGAGTATTTTACTCTACAATCTTTAATTTTTGTTAAATTAACAAATGGTATATCACACAGCCACCCTAGATTTTTTCAAATAATAAAGATCTACTGACGCAAAATCATAAAAATTAAAATATCTAGGATAATCTTTGTCTGAGGGGTAGGCAACCTTAATAATATTTTGAAAATATATAAATTCCCCATTGAACACCGGAAAAATATACCGGGTCTTCCATTTAAAATAAAGGAGTAACTTGCTTTTAAAAGTGACTAATGTTCCATATTAATTTTGTCTCACCCTGTATAACTTTTCGGGTCAAATTTCAATTTGGTTTAACAAACAATGGTTACTGTAATTAAATATCAGGCTATATCAATTAAAATTTAAGTAGCTGTTATCGAAATTTAAAATTTGCCCTTCATTTTCATAAAATGTAAAATATGTCAAAATCCTTAGATTTTAGGTATATGCTTCTTTAATAAAACTCAGCTTTATTTTTTTCCTAGAATCCGAAAATCAATTAATATATAGGGCGTTCCATTAGAAAAAACACAACTTTGATATTATGTAACTTTTTTTGGGGATACCCTGTATAATTCTATATATTTTTATAAAATGCTTTCAGTTAATCTACATTTATTATGCTGCCAAAATGTTATTTCCGTATAAACTACCGTTCTCCTTGGAGCTTCCGCGGCGTAAGAGAGGCGCCACCCTGTATATTCTGTCTGATTAGGTCTGAAAATAGGTTGTTTTCTATTTTCTACACCCCTAAGTGTTTATACCCCTAACTAAAAATGTTGTTTACCTCAGGATGAGCACTATGATTTCAACTATCAACAATCACGAGCACTCAGTCAAGACACCACTATACTTCCTGGCGATGGCCTAATCACAGAATGCACCTACTCGACTGAAGGAAGAAACAGGCCAACACTAGGAGGATATTCTACCAGAGAAGAGATGTGCCTAGCTTTTGTACTGCACTATCCCAGAACCGAACTAGCCGGGTGTTATTCCATCCCTCCTGTGCGTTACTTTTTCGAAAACTTGGGAGTAAAAGAGTTCTATGGGAAGAATATGAGTCAAGTAGAAGCAGCTCTGTTAGAGGGCAAGTAAGTAATTCATTAATTTAATTATCTATTAAAAAACAACTGTATTTAATATTTTTACATTAAGTTAGATATTGTTACAGTAAATATAACCCCGCTTATACAGGCTCCTAAACAATATTTGTCGAGTACTAATATTTTTGTCTCTGCATTTTTTTCACTACTTTTATGTTATGTTAATTAATAGTACTGATACCCGTAAAAATGTTGTTACCGTACAATAAATAGAACAAAAATTTTCTATTAATAAAAATTATTTTTTATAAATTTTGTTATTTACCAACGCCATATCTTGCTAGAAAATAAAAAAAACAGCGTCAACGACGACTGGGAAATGACGATTATAATTTTAGCGCAGCCAAGCCAAGGATTGCCAGTGAAGGAACGTCGTAATTTATTCAAGTTTTTACCAAAACTTTGTACACACAACCAATAAACTTATATGGAATCATCTATTATTTTTCAGAATTTGTGAGATTTATGAAAATTTTCTGTTTATGAATAACACTCAGGCCTTACCAATGACTTTTAATAAAAAATAATCCATATAGCAATAAAAAAAATTAATCAGTTCCCAAAATAAACAAAATGGTATTTTTTTGGTTTCTGAAACGAAATTAAGATTTAAATTTTTAGTGGCCAAAAAGCATAAACAAAAAGAAAATTGATAATTTTAATATTCCTTGTTGCCACCTTTAGCCCTTATGCAAGCTTCTATCCGAGCTGGCATTCTTCTTATGAAATTATCCACGTGGTCTTGGGGTATGTTTTCCCATTATGCTAATGCTGCATCAATAAGCTGTGCGAGATTTCCTGGATTGTTTCGACGAGCTCTAACCCTTCTTTTGAGCTGGTCCCACAAGTGTTCGATAGGGTTTAGATCTGGTAAATAGGCAGGCCAGTCCAAAACTATGACACCTTCCGTTTCAAGACATTCTCTAGTCACTCTGCTGGTATGGGGAGGTGAACTATCGTGCATGAACTTAAAATTATTGCAGCTCTCCAAAGACTAACGATTGGTTCTAGCACCAAATCACCATATCTCCGACCCTTTAAAATTTGTTGAAGTGGTAACAATGGAGTTTTTGCTCCTAGTATAATACCTCCCCAGAACATTACAGTTCCTCCTTTATATCTTGGTACAGATTTGGCAGTAACCTGAAGTCTCGCTCGTCTTCCTGGAGCTCTGAGAATCCGAATTCGATGGTTATCTGATCTTAGGCCAATTCTGGTCTCATCCGAAAAAAGAACATTTTGCCAATTATCAGTTGTTCAGTTTTAATGCTGAAGGCATCAATTTAGCCGGTCAATTTTATTTTGCCGAGATAACCCTCGTGCACGAAGCCTTTTTCTTATAGTTTCAACTGAAATGTTTACACTTATAGCTGTCAGAAGTTGTCTTTGTAGCTCTGGACGAGAAACATTGGGATTTATTCTAGCAATTTAGGCACACAAGGCGGTCTTGTTGTTCAGTTGTGACTTTTTGACGACTTTGTATGGGTCTATCCTTGTATGTTCCTAATTCCAAGTATCTTGCATATGTTTTGGATACAACACCCTGAGTAACGCCTACTATCTCTGCTACGTCTCTCTGGAGCATTCCTTGTTCGGTGAGAGCAATAATTCTTCCCCTCTATACATCTGTTAATCCAACATAAGGCATTTTTTTTGATTGAATGAAAATTACCAGACAATCGTGATTTTACTATTGAACACAAAATTCAAAAGAAAATAAATCGCAGCAGTCGTTTATTCTTTATTATCACGTTTATTTACAACAAAAAGCCTTATCTTAAAATTGTATATCAATTTTTATCCTTGCAAGAAATTTAGTCAGAAATAAAGAGTGATTCCATATAAGTTTGATTGTTTGTATTTTGAAGGCCTATTCTCTTGGACAAATAAAAACAGATATTAAACAGAGAAAAGATATTCATTTTTCAATTTCTCTCACAAATTACAATTTTCAAGGAAAAAGTTTATTTTCTGTAATCACAGATATATTAAATATCTTAATTTTACTTGTTTTCGGAACACGTTTATACATATTTTCCAGATTAAATCATTCATTTAAAATTGTTTTCTTACTTGTTTTTGTAAAGTTTACAGACTTCAAATAAACAAAATAAACCTTCCAAAAAAACGTTTATATTTTCTTAATCGTTTTTCGTTTTCTTTTTTCTGTATTATTCTCGCCCGATCTGTTAATTAAAAACTCGAATCTAGCCTGTTAAAATCGGTTTCAGAATGGAAACCGAATATTCGCCGGCGACGATAACGCAAAAACCGTTCGAGAGTCGGCCGGGGGATGAGATGTCACCCGAAGCCAATTTGAGGGCGATAATGGCCTTAAAGAACGCCAAAGAGTACAGTATCGAGGGCGAAACATCCGACCAGAGTGTGTTCGAGAAACTAATTATAAAAGGTAAGAGAATATTAAGTGCGGGCAAAAAAGTTTTGTTTTCGGCGTATTGTTACGGGATTGTCTTGAAGATGATTGACAGACGAGCTTAGATTAATGGAGTGTTTTACCAAGTAATAATGTTATTTATGATTACTAAGAAAAAAAAAGTAATTCTAAAATATACAGAGTGTAACATATATGTACATACATACTTACACACATGGTCAAAATTATTGCATATAACGATATTTTTAATTTATTTTGGACCTAATATGATTCTTTTTATATTTTTGCACATATTGGCTTACTATACGACTAACTAATATAAAATTAAAAATCTAAGTGCAACTAGGCTGTTATTATAATTTTATTTCATAATGAGTGAAAATCAACAAACACAAATTTTATTTTAAACAGAAAATATTGAAAACAATTTTAATTATTTCTCACAAATAATAGTCTGTATTGCCTCCTCAAACCTCAATGCAAGCTGTGAGACGACGTGGCATGCTCTCAATTAAGTTGTCCAGAAGATGTTGAGGAAATGGCTTCCCATGTTTCGCGCGCAGCAATTTTCAATTCATTTAAGGTACGGGGGGGGGGATCATTTAATTTAAAAAATTAAAAATATTGACTCTTCCTTCCTTATTTATATTTGAATCCGTTTGCCTAATATGTAAACATGTATCAGCTTCTCAAGAAAGGCCATCTCACACTTATCCACTCAGGAATGCGGAGCAAGATCTTTATCTACCTACCCCACGCTCAGAGTTAGTTAAAAGTTCAATATTATACAACTCGAAAAAAATGCACATCACCTGCCATTTGAAATCAAATCCATAACATCATTTTTTTCATTTCGCAAAGCATTGCACTCTTATTTACTAGACAAGGCTTTCTACGCCGTAAATGAATTATATTTTGAAAATCAAATTTGATCTTGTAAACACTGGTCTAACGTTTGCTATTGCTATATTTACTAATGACATCGAAATGAATTTATTTAGAGGTCATTGATATTTTACTATAAACTAGCTAAATATTTTTGAATATTATTTTTATTTTTTGTTCTTTGACATTATAAACATTTATAAATGTTTATGTTAACAATAAGACTGACAATGTTATTTGTATAATGTTTTGTATTATCTTTTGTTTGTTTGTTTGTTTACCTTGTTTTTTTACTTTGTTAGTTTACCTTTGTCTACAAATTGAAAAATTTTTTGACAATAAAGGCATTTATTTATTTATTTATTCCTTTTATTCCTTTTGGCAATATGGCGTTTTAGCATGTCCCAAGCATGCTCGATCACATTCATATCTAGAGACATCGGTGGCCACCACAGTTTTCCCTTAAACCCTCTCCCTCGCAAAATTCGTTCGTTTTCAGAATAAAGTGCTATGGGGAGGAGCATTATCGTCCATGTAAACAAATTCATCCCCCACTGCTTCTCGAAATGGACGCACAATAGGCTCTAAAACGTCTCTAAGAAACGGCCCACAGAGGGCAAACAAGAGGAGTTCGAGCTCTGTACATTATACCTGCCCATACCATAATGCTTCCCCCTTGAAACGGGACACGGGGTTGAGCTGCATTCAAGCGTGCTCGTCTTCCAGATACTCTCCAGAGCAAAGCTCGTCGCGAGTCTGACAGGCCTATTCTTGTTTCATCACTAAACATGACGAAATTCCAATTAAGTCTATTTGCTCTCATCTCCTCAGCCCATTGTAGTCGCGTAATTTTGTGCTATAAATTAAGATTCGGAACACGTAAAGGCCTCCTTAAATGTAATCCTCCGTCATGGAGTCCTTTTGCTATGGTCTTTCTTGAAACATTTACTCCTTCAAGGCGAGCTAACTCATTTTTAATAGTACAGGGGATTGTGTCGTGCAATTAGGGATATTTGACGGTCTTGCACACCAGTAGTAACTCTTTCTACCTCTTCCAGGCCGGTCTGTGGCCTCATTTGTCTCCCTGATTTTTTTTAATATTCGCGAAAAATCGCTTTGGTTAATCCTACAATTTCAGCTATTGCAACTTGCCGGTAGCGCTGTTGAGACAGTGTTACTATTCTCTAGTTCTATTAAACTGTGAAATAATGTTTCTAGGCATTTAAGGTCAAAACAATGGTCAAATTTCTTCTGAAACCCAAAAGACCACAAATCGAAATGTGCAAGAATTTGTAATAATATTGGCTCTGAACGATAAACATTGTTTACCATATCCGTTTTAACAAAAAAAAATGTTTATTACAGATTATCAAAGCTACGTATAAAAAAAGATTCTTTAAATTCCTGTTCGTTTTTTTGTTAGGAGAGTTGTCTAGAAGATGTTTGTTAGGAAGGGATCTGCTAGAAATCTGCTAGAGAGTGACTGTTAAAATATAATTCCTAATACGATTATCTGTGAAACTGTATTTTTGCTAATATATTACACAAATTCTACAATATTTTTTTATATTTTACAAGGAGCAGCTCATGCAATTATCATATTTTTCAAACTATTCATATAAACTACCGTGCTGCTGATGGTTTTAAATTTACCCTGAGTTTTTCCTTTTTAGAGCCATCTGAGTTCCGAAACAAGACATTCATGTCACACCTGCAAAATATTCCGTACAACGAAACAATACTTACCAAGAAAATGGAGGAATACTTCTACAACGGTCTCCATATGACGTTTTGCAGAAAGAGGGATGATTCTTTAGCTATTGTAAGTTATAATTTTATAATATTAGTAATTATATACAGAGAAGACCAGGCTACTAGTAACATAGCAAGTTGCCGGACGAATTTACGTTTACCCGTTTTGCGTTCGTTCTCGAGAGTCACTGCCGGTTAGTCGGCTGGTCAGGCAGTAGGGAGTTGCAGTTGTACTTGGACGGGTCGGTCGTGACAGACTAGGAATACGACTCGAGGGGTGCCGAGTATTTATTATTTTCATTTTAAGTGTTTACCTTCACTTAAGGTAACATTTAAAATGAAAATACTTAAATATTTATTATTTGAGTGTGTTTACAAGCCAAAACTAAAAATAAATAAATTCTCTAAACCCAAAAAAAAACTAAAATATTACTCTAAATAAAAAAAGTTATAACAAGTGTTCAAAAAGACCATCTTCTTGTGCTAGACAGAAGCCTAGGCGGTCGTAAAATCCCCGTCTAACATTGGCTAACATATTAGGGCTAATAGTTTGGAAAGCCTCTCGTATTTTTACTTGAAGCTCATCCAGATTATTAGCCCTAATATGACAATACACTTTGGATTTTACATAACCCTACATAACCCCACAAAAATAACTCATTGGGAGAAAGATTTGGTGATCTAGCGGGCCACAAAATAGTTCCATATCCACTAATTAAACAGTTGGGAGAAGTATTGTTCAAATATTCGTGAACAATACGGGCATTGTGGGCAGGACAACCACCTCAGCAATTTAATTACTTGAAAACGTGGGATTTTGATCCGCTGTAGCACAAATGAACACTTGCTTTAACTCCTGTTCTTCATTAATCAACACATCAGGCTTTTTGTTTTTTTGTGGGAACACGCACCCATGTGTTTCAAAATTATTAATAACTCTTGATACAGTAGGTAAAGATGGAATTAGCCTGTCTACAAAAATTTGTGGAAAAATTGTTTGTATATCCCGGTAAGACCTATTTTGGAAATACCATTTTACAATTTGAGTTTTCACACGAACTTCGTAAACATCCATTATTTTACTTAAAAAATTAATTTTACACGAGAACTGTCGCGAGAATCTATGTATTCGTTTTGGCTATTAAAACACGAATAAATACAAATTCTGAAACATACTTATCACATATAATTCTTATCACTATTTTTATTTTATCGCATTTTTTCGCCTGTTTTTTATCCGGCGGACGGGTCTACGCTAATTCGTCCGGTTCTCCCTATGTTACTACTACGGTGGTCCGGTCTGTATAGCTTGTCCTTATTGCTGATATCATAAAAAAAAATATTGGTTACAAAAATGACTCCTAAACAATTTTAAGCTTTTTTTTTTAATTTATTTATTTTTTATGTTGATCCTTTATACTATCTCTTAGTATCTCCTGTCATAAAGTTGTCTAAAAAATTAATGGACAATATCATCATAATAAATAAAAAAACATAACAATTTTAACAAATTAGAAAATCAAAATTTTTTTGGTTTGAGTCAAATAACTAAATAAGTATGTTCCTTTTCAGAAAGAAACCATTGAGAATTTACCTCGTTTTGAAAAGTATCAGAACAAAGAGAACATCCAGTGCAGCTACAAATCCAAAAGGGCTTATACAAGTTCTGCATCAATGAGCAAGGTGTTGCAATTTTCGAACTTAGTTTTCAGTATCATATTTAGTATCATGATAAGACGAAAACTTACATAGAATGCTTTCTTTATAACTACTTTGTAAAAAAAGTTGTTAAATACACCGATGATAAAGTAGTTGACAGAAAAAGAAAACCAAATTTTAATTATAAATAGTTTTTATATTGTTTTACAAGTAATATACACAAGAAAGTTTTCAAAATCATAATATCCCATATACATTTATTCTTTATTTGACGCACATGAAGAAAATCTAATTTATTTATTTTTAACACAGAAAAAGTATTGTTTTAAAAGTTTCTCGGCATAATTTTGTTACGTCTTTCTTTTATATAAGTATATAATTTTGTTTTTCATAATTTATTATAGGAATAGTATTTATTTTTGTACATAATAAACCGTAGAATCGCTAGTGTAAATATCATCCTACCCTGACCAAAAATTTTATTAATTTAAGATTGAATTACTTTAAGAAAAATCATTGATGCTGTGAGTTTTTTTAAACTAGTTGTAGATTTTATTAGTTGTACTAATTTATTTTAAGAACTTATTTTTCTACAATTATTATCTTTAAAATTTAGTAATAGCTAACGCCAGTCAATGTACTTATAACATCGTTTGATGATTTCAAATATAATATAAAAATATTTTAAGGAAATTTTCTTTTTCTATCAGCCCCTATTTTCTAATATCAAATAGATTATAATATTTTGTTAGTTTTCTGAACGTATTGTCAACCTTTGCTTGTGTCAGTTGATTTAGCTTCTTCGGCTATAGTAGTAAATCCAAATTTTAAAAATTTATCCCAAGATGTCAGCTCTTCTTTGTTCATCTGTTTCGAAAATAATTCCATTAGAACATCTTTCAATTCCTGTAACATAATAACATAATATATTGTAAATATAATATAATGGATAACCTAATGACTAATGGATTTACCAGGGCAAAGACAAGCAAAAGAGTCCATAGTAGAACACTAGCCCAAAATTTACAGCAGACCTGATAAGTAAAGATAGGAAAACAACTGTCAAAATTCTAGTGGTTCTACTAACAGGGCATTGCAACCTTAACAGGCATTTAAATCTGATGGAACTGACAGACAAATCAGTGCAGGTTTTGTCAATCAAAATAATAAATTACTGAACACATTCTGTGTAAGTGCGATAGCTGCACAAATGTGCATTTTTTTGTACCAGGCAATTATAAATTGCATTTAACAAACAACTATATGTAAGTTCAGTCTACAAGTTATTGAACTTTTTGAAAAGGATATGACTAGAAAAAATATCTTAGAGATCATAGAACCACCAAAATAGATCTTTATAGGTCACAGTGAAATAGTTCAAAAACCACCTCAAAAAATAATCTACTCTAAATCCATCAGAGGCAAGAGAGTTTTTGGAAGCTAACTTTGCACAAATCTAACCACAGTCCATTAAATCATTATAACTTAAACACTTTTACTAGACATGTATGATTAAAAACAAATTCTTAAATAACGCTTATAATTTATTTTCAACCACCTGCTGATAAATACAAAGGTGGTTAATAAAAAGTTGCCCAGATTTTAAAGTGTATTGTTATGGTGTATTATAGTAGATTTGTGGAATTTTCTGATATTAAAAACAAAGGCTTCAGCCATTTTTTTTAAGAAATTTTTTTTTTATTGAGAAATCCCAACTAGCAAAAATATAGTTCCCAGTCCTTTTTAAAAAGTCACTGCCCCTAAAGTATAGTTCCCAGAAGTGGCTGGAACTACCCGAATCTTCGAATATGACACCATAAAAAAACAAAAACTTTATAGTAACTTTTCAAAGTAGGGTTACTAACAAGTGCTACCATAATGCCTTCATTAAGTATTGTTACTTTATAGTAACAATTTAAGTTACGGGGTAGTCGCGGCCACGACGCCTAGTTACTTCTAATTTATAGTAGCATTGAAAGTAGCAAAATGGTTACTGCTACCTTCCTAGGTCACTATAAAGTAGCCGTCGCTCATACATTACCACTAAAAAGTCACGGGGATCAAAAACGGCTACTTTATAGTGACCATAACTTAATATACCTACCCTAATAAATGTAATTGCTTCAGATTGCATCGTGTGCTGTTCTGTTTTAGTGTTTTCTTTTACTTGCTTATAAGCTTTATTAATATTTTGTAAAATGCCTAAGGTGAGTAAAAAGATTAATAAAAATTTAATACCGTCTTATTCTGTATTGAATTGGCATATTCGCGTCGTCGCGTCGCCAAATGGGAACTGCAAAGGACAAGATGGAACGTTATAGTGGCACCAATGAAATGTATAGTCGCCACCGCGGCAATCGGTGTAGCATAACGCTCCAATTAAGTGTCAAAGAATCTTTGACCATGTAGTCCCAAAAAAGTTATTGTTTCTATAAAGTCGCCTTTGGGTAGGTAGCTACAATTGTCACTTTATCGAGTAGGGCTGGCCTAATATATTATTGATCCCGGTACTTTGTGGAAACATATGGAACTATAAAGTATTTTTCGGATTAAACGGACCTATTTTTTCATGACTTTTTCGACGAACATCCAAATGGCTCAAACATTATGCGTATTCAAGCTAAATATACCTAGATTAAAGCTTTTTTTCTTAGTTATTTTGTTATTTCGGACGGTGGACTAATATTTTAAAGTTTGACCCCAGTTTCAAGCAAATTATTATTATTTTTTAATTACTACATGAGTTTTTATTGCAAATAATATAATAATTTGAAATATTTTGAAAGGCGCTCGAAAATGTTGTCATATAAACCCACTATTTTATTCAGTAAAGACGATTGCGTTCTGGAATTTACCTAAAAAAGGCGTTAAAATCATTTTTACATTTATTTTTATGAAATGTGAAATTGCAAGAAGAGGTCGCTGCGAATAAAGTTTAACAGTTTTACGAAAGTTCCACATGTCTGTGGATAACACTTGGCTGCCACGAACCCGCGACTAGGCAGCTTCGTAACAGATAAGTTGCAATTCACCAGTAGGCTACTTTATAGTAACACATTATAGTAACTCTTTTAGTGGCAAAAACTACCCAAGACACTACCCGGCTAAAAATATTTCCCCATTTTGGTCGCAGTTACTTAGCAGCTACGAATATATGACGTAGCCGCCGATGGTCACCGCCCACTTTGTAATGGCTTTGATAGTAGCAGTTACGTATCTGCAACTATAAATGCTAGTTGGGATACTTACTGAGTATGCGTGTACAGGAACTCCTCTAGGTACGTGAGCTGCTCCCTGCTTCTTTAACAACTCATTTAACAATAAAACGTTGGTGATATTTGCAATAATCGATGTAAATGCATATATCACGCTAATGCAATGGGCTCTGAACCTATTGTTGCTTGTCAATTCTTCTTTTGGAGTGTCTCGGAATGGGAATAATTGTTGGTATTGTGGATTTTTCTCGAACAATCTACAAATAAAATTAAAAATTGAATTTACTAACCCTTCAAAAGGCAAATATTGGAATACTGCAAAAAAACCTTATTTATAGTATACATCTCAACAAGCGAACAAACAAAAACCTTATTATATGCTAAACCTAAAGCCACACTTTATTCGTTATGTTTTAAAACTAATCTAGAATACCCTTTGATAATCGTATATCCAAAGATACACTACATTAAAACAACTGTATATAAATAATTATTGTCATTTATATATTTTACTTTTTGGATGAACATTCTTCTAAAACATTATAGTAAAACATACTTCTAGATTATTCTAGATTCTAAATCATTATATTAGAATGACGTTCTAGAGTTCTGGTATTTAAAAATGAATAGCAAAGATGAATAGTAATTTCCATCTTTAAACTTTTAGTTCATCAGTAAAACATTGAGGTCGCGTCTGGCCTCAACTTTAGTTGCGGCCACTCTATAACAGCATTCTATTTTTTCCGCCTAGTGAAATCATTACCAGTCGTCTAAATGTATACAGGGTGACAATGTAAATAGTAGCAATAGAGATTATATCTTAGATATAAAATATTATCGGAATGATCTCAAAATCAAATCGGTGTATTGGAGACCTTTGACACAATTTTTTGATAAGTCAAAATCACTAGCTTTTCTAAGTTTTCTTAAAATGTTGCTCACTTTTAAACAACGATATCTCAAAAACTAATCGTTCTATTTATGATTATACTAAATGACTGTAAAGAGAAAGCTACGAGCTTAATAGTGTGACACATAAGAAATAAGTTCGATTAAAAAAATCCAAAAGGGTCCAAAAGTGTCCCAAAACATATTTGAAATCTTCCTGACAGTGTTCTTTGATTATTTGTCTAAGAAATATTCGCGATTGCTAATTTTAAATTGTCATCTTTATTTACTTGTTATTTTAATTTAAATGCTTACTTTAAAAACATCTCCATTCCAGTTTTGACAGTTGCATCTCCATCGCTTAACGTTTTCCATGTCTTGGTAATCAAATATACATCCCTAGATGTCAAACCAGTAACTGGGTCTGCGTCATCAGTCCTACCAGTGTCCCAAAAATTACTTGCCACAATTCCCATTATGTGTTTTAGGTACCTACACATATTATATCATTTTACCAAATATCTATCAATGTTAATTTCTTCTTTTCTATGAGTAATTCCATCCTCATAACCATTATAGTTAAGTAACTAAAGTTAAGAACAGTATGACTAAATAGTCATACTGTTTCAAACAACCAACAATAACCTGCTTATGATGCAGATACATGTGGGTGTTCAATTTATTAGAATGGTACTTGGTAAATACAAAAAGTAGTACCAAAGAGTTTCCTACATAAAATATAGCTGGATCAAATAAAAACGATGTTACGGTATGCCTGGTATTAATAGTTCAATCAAAAAATCAAAACATTAACACATTTTGAATTAATTTTTCAAATTAATTTACTAGTAAGTCTATAAAAAAACACAATAAAATGCTTTAGAACATTACTCACATTTTTTATTTAAACATTTATTTACACTTATGATCTTATGTCTGAAGAAATATTTATATATTAAAATATATTTTCATATAAGTATAAATGTGACTGATTTAGTTTTAAAAGGTTTAGTGAAAAAAATACAAAACACACTATAAATTTAAAATATATACAGTTAAAATCACGATATAGACGACGAAACAGATTGTTAAAATAATCTTTGGTTTAGTTTAGCTATTACTATTAAAAATTAATGAGATTTATTTTTCACAATATAAAATTGTAATGTTTTGCCATACTCATACTTTAGTCAAAAAAGTATTTTGTCTAATGTTTAAAATAGTCTTCTAACGCAATTTGTACTATTTTACTTCTAAAAGAGTATTTTAGTATACCCGTAGTTAATAGATGCATCTTTTTTATAAAAATATGATATATAAATAAGTACGATTATCGTTACATATACTTAGAGTCATTATATATATGCGCAACATAGTCAGATGAGTTTTAAAGCTTTTCGCCTTCAACTAATCCTTTCAGTATCACACCAAAAGCTACTTCTAAAGTCTTTTTCCATGCTTCCAGTTCATCTGGCTTCATGACAGCAGAGAACAGCTCCACTGTCGCATCTTGCAGATCCTTAAAATAGAAAAGAATTTTTAGAACAAAGAATGATTACCTATGTCTATTTTTAATACACCATAAGTATACTCATAAGCTAGAATTGTAGAAGTAATAGGTGCTTTAGATAATAAAATATAAGACTGGTTTTCTTGGTATTTTTCTGATTAGGTATAGTCAGTGACTCAAAATAATAGCACCTTTGGTGTTATTATTTTGGGTCACTGACTTTTGAGTCGCTGGAGATACAGGTGGTAGCTTTGATGTCAATTTGTCACATTTATTTATTTCCTGATATTGTCATTCGTTTTGACACTTTAGTTTTGTATTACGAGTTTTTCGTTTAACTAAATTGTGTTGCGATATTTTAAGCTTAAAATTTTTTACTAGGAGACCTTGCAGTCAAACATTGTTCTTTTTAGAACCTCTTTTAGTTCGAAGTATACAAGATAGCTTAATAACCGTAAAAAACTCATCGCAACTTTATCAAAATATTTTGAACGGGAAAGAGGTAGTAGATGTGTCTCTTAAGTGCTGTTAAAAAGGTGAGTTTTGGTGATGTAAATAATAAGTGTTTATATATTTATAATTAATTTATTTTTTTTCCTAAAATATTTTGATTAAAAGAAAATATGTAAAAGTGGGCAACGCTATACAGGTGAAATTAAATCACGTGACTAAAAGTTTATTTTATATGAACTATATAATTATCACATCCTTATTTTTTTAACAAACAGTGTTATGTAAATTTCCGTTCATATACCGGGTGACCAACTAAGAATGGACGCCGGCTGTATCTCAGAAACTACTTATCGTATAACTTTGGGAATAACCCTGGACAATATCAACTCCTGTGGAACAGGCATATTAAGAACACTACCAGCAAAGCCATAAAGGCTCTCATGATATGCAGAAGACTGGCCGGAAATAGATGGGGCTGCTCCCCTAACATTTTGCGCTGGATGTATACCATGATAGTAAGACCCATGATTACTTATGGAGCAGTTGCCTGGTACACAAAACTAGAGCAACGGACGGCAAGGCTAAACCTATGAAAGTCCAGAGACTAGCATGTGTTTGCATCACAGGAGCCATGAGAACCTGTCCAATAGCAGCAATGGAGGTCATTCTAGATCTAACACCACTGCACATTGTCATTGGTAGATATGCCAATGCGACAATGATTAGAATGGTCACTAACGGAATTAGTACTGGGAGAATTGTCAGATCAGGGGCTTGGAACACCCTCAAAAAGGAAATACAACTCATGCAACTCCCAGTGGACGATATGCCAGAACGTACAACTTTGACAAACATGTCAATGTAGTATTGAGCAATAAGAAGGATTGGAAGAGCGAAACGCTTGCCCAGCAGTTAAAAGACCATACCATAACTTGGTATACTGATGCTTCCAAAACCAATACGGGAACAGGGATCGGAGTGTTTGCGCCGAGAGCTAATTACTCCGAACCAATGGGCACTTACCCTAGTATCCTACAGGCAGAAATCTACGCTATCGAGAGATGCGTACAACTTATCTTAGATAGGAACTATCGGAAACAAGAAATAGCCATCTTATCTGATAGTCAAGCAGCGTTAAAAGCGATCAACTCAGTATCAATCAATTCGAAATTGGTCAAAGAATGCATAGAGAAGCTGAATAAATTAGGCAAAGAAAACAAAGTCCTCCTACTCTGGGTGCCTGCTCACCAAGGGATAGAAGGCAATAAAAAAGCAAATAATCTAGCTAGGAAAGGAGCGAACATTCCACTAACTAGACCAGAACCGTTCTGCTTTCCAAGTGGTAACCAACTCAAGGCAGAACTCAAGAACTTAGAAGATTCCATCCGCAACCTGGAATGGAAATCTTGCAACGGTCTAAGACACTCGAATAAGTTTCTGAGGGCTTATGATCAAGAAAAATCACAGATCTTCCTGGGTTTAAGTAAGAACAATCTTCGGATTGTCACGGCGTTTTTAACAGGACACTGTCTCCTCAATGAACAGCTCAGTAGATTGAAACTAAGAAGAAACGGCGAATGCAGATTCTGTGGGGAAGATGGGGAAACACCAGTACACCTCATCACTGAGTGCGCCGAGACGACAACCATTCGTGCCATGAATTTTGGTACGACTGATATTGGAGATGGAGAACTACCTTCTATAAAACCGTCCCAGATACTGGCTTTTGTCAAAGCCCTGGGACTGTATGATGAGTTATGATTCAAGAAAGGGGGACACAATGGATCTGTAAGGTCGAAGTGATTAACCCCCCTCCCACTCATTCTAAATTCTAAAAATTCTCTCCTATAACTTTTTCATTTATGGGGTCGAATCAAGGACGAATATGGATAAATAACAATTAAATGGTATTAAAATGAAATTAAAATATATGTTTTGATATTTTGACGTAACCAATTTACCTCTTTTTGTTTCCTGGATTACTACTATAATTTTTAGACCTTATAATCCTAGGCGACAGCCTAATATGAATTATTTTCTTAATATCTCCCGTTAGAGAGAAGATATAAAGTTGCGGTTTGTGCTAATATTTTGGTAATTTTGTGCTCTATTTAACTGTGCAGAGAAAAATATAGCCTCCTATTTAAAGTTTTTATGCAAAAGCGCAATATCTGTTATGATGTCAAACAGCGTCCTCTAGCTACCACGAAAAAAAAATGGAAACAAAATTTATACTGAAGATCATTAAGCAAGAAATGCTCTTTTAAACGGGCCCTAGTTTGTTTAAATTGGCTAACCCAAACCAGAGTTATCCTTATTTTAATAAAGTCAAGTAGTAGTTTAACCTTCCGCCACCACTTTACTTTATGAGATAGAGCAAAATACTTTATATCAAAAAAAATACAAATTTCTCGATGATTACAATAGTAATATTTAAAATACCTGTTCACCTGCATATTTTTGAGAAAAACCCTGTTTTCTAATTGGCTATCATAGAAACGCCCCCTAGCGGATATTTTTCAAACTTGAAAATAATTTCCAGCGATTTCTCTTGGTCGATTTACTTATTAGAATTTTTTTCCCAAAGTTATACGATATGTAGTTTCTGAGATACAGCCGGCGTCCATTCTTAGTTGGCCACCCGGTACATAACAAATAAGAAATCCGTCTCCATAGTCTATCAACTCAGTAATTTGTAATAATTTCCTATATTATTGTTTGTTGCAATATTTCTAGAAAATTGCTACGACTTACAACTACTAAATTTTTAATAGCATTTTTATATTTGGTCGTACTATTAAAAAAATTAACGCTTGTGAAATTTAAACGATTAATTTACAGAAAAATGCGTTGAATTATCATCTGTCACTTGAAATAACAAAAACCAGAAGTCGTAATCTGGTTATTTATTATTCGTTGCGAAAGTGATATCCACTTAATATTCAAAATATTATGGGCATGTGACTTTCAAAACATCATATGCCCAACTAAATATTAAGATAACTAATTTTAGACATTCATTGGCATCGGCATGAAAAAAATACTTCTTTAATAAATATAGTATACTAATTTGCAACGTATTTCAATATGAGACAGTAGATATATTTTATCTACTTTTGTAAGACCTTTGTGGCCTGCGGACTTGGCTTGTGGACTTGACTGCCGATCGTTCACAAATTAAATATTCTCTTTTGGGACAAAATTGAACGTTTTACCAAACTGTGTTCTGGAAACTTCGGCAGCATATTCTGCAGATAAAAATAAGTAAAAAAGTTCCTAAAATGCTTAATTTCGGAAATACAGGGTGTAGAAGTTTCATTTTTATTTCGATTTTTTCCAAATAATTTATGAAGTAACGTCAATATTTTCATGAAAATTTGTTTCTGGGAGTTTTTTGATATGAGAAATTTGATTTTGATGTCAATATGACTCCTACTTGTAGAGGGCGCCACCTACATATCTTTTAACTGGTTTGAAGAGTAACAACTTTTCGTCCGTACCTGTATAAAACTACCGAGTAAAAAAATAT